CCAAGGCTTTGGGCCGTCCTCAACTGTTTTCCCAGGCCACAAGCATGGAGCAGGATGGGAACTGGAGCTGCTGGGATGGGAACTGGAGCTGCTGTGATTAGAACTGGCACCCACATGGGATCCCAGCACATTCAATGGGAGGAGTTTAGCTGCTAGGCCAGGTGCCGGGCCCGACTTCAATCATTTTAAAAATAAATAGAGTGGGCAAACTTTTCTGTCAAGGGCTATTTGAATACAACATCATTTGCAAGCCATACAAAATTATCAACTTAAAAAGTAACTACCTACAGTTTTATTGAACCTTGAGTACTACCTGCAGTTGTCCTGGTAGGGCTACACCATATGACTTTGCAGCTGTAAGCTGAACATTCCCAGCCCTGGATAAAGTACAGGCAGGCACTGTGCACAGCACACAGAGTCATGCTCGGTGTACCTGCATCCCTTACTAGAGTGCCTCTTTCTGATCCAGCTCCCTGCTAATGCACCTGGGGAAGTGGCTATGACGGCTCCAATATGTGAGTTCCTGCCCCATATGTGGGAGAAACAGATGGAGTTCCTGGCCTCTGGCTTCAACCTGGGCCAGCCCCAGCTGTTGCACTGTTGCAACCATCTAGGGAAAGACCCAGCAGATGGAACACAATGTATGGATGTGAAAAGGGGGGGGGGGGGGGGGGGGGATGGGATGTGTTTTGTCTCTGGGTGCTAGTTTGTCTTTGGCATAAAATACATATTTTTTTGTAAATGTATGAGGTAAAAATGTCTTATCATCTCTTTACTTCTATCCCACAGAAATAACTATTGTAAAATAAATTGTGGCTTACCTTTCCAGACTTTTGAGAACACATTCAAATTCTATTGTGATTCAAAAAGGTATATACAACTCCAATAATAAAGAAATCCACTATCATTCAATTCTGCAAATTTTTTAAAATATGAAGTTTTTAAAAAATTTAAATATTTGATATATTTGACTTTTTAAATCTCCATAAATATTTTTAATTGCTGTTTTATTGAGTCACTTTTATTCATAAATGAACAGTTTTGTGCCCACATCTTTGTATCTGTATTTTTCTGCAAAGAAATTTATAAGTGAAAATGCTGGAATAAAATACAGACACATATTCTATTCTGAAAGACACTATTAAACTTTCTGCTTTCTTCAAGATAATCATAATAACACTCCATGATGACCTAAGCTTATTTTTATTAATATTCTTTATTTTTTACATCCTGTTGTAACACAGTGATCATTTTGCTATTAGCATAGTGCTATCAGCACTAATCATTTTGCTATGAAATTTCAGCAGGTTTGTAATTTTTTGTTCTTTTCCTTTGTCAGTTTGCATCATCACCACTGTCCTACATACAGTACTTTTCTTTAATTCTGTTGAAACCAGAGAAAACTGAGATCAAACTCAAAATCAAATAAGAAAAAAATTAAACGAGAAATTCTCAATTGAGTATGCACTGTAATTACTACTGTTATGTCTCAGAGGTCTTTCATGCATCTAGATTATGTAGAGGTAAGGTTTCTAGATTGTAAATATTAGAAAGAAATATCATCACTGTTATTATTAATATACCAAAAGGTTTTCTGTTGATATTTTTATGTGGGAAGCACCTTAGGTTAAAAAAAAGAAGAAAAGGAGGGCCCAGCACGATGGCCTAGTGGTTAAAGTCCTCACCTTGAACCCGCACCGAGATCCCATATGGGCAGCAGTTCTAATCTCAGCAGCCCAGCTTCCCATCCAGCTCCCTGCCTGTGGCCTGGGAAAGCAGTCGAGGATGAACCAAAGCCTTGGGACCCTGCACCAGCATGGGAGACCCAGAAGCTCCTGGCTTCAGATCAGCTCAGCTCCGGTCATTGTGGTCACTTGGGGAGTGAATTATCGGACAGAAGATCTTCTCTGTCTCTCCTCCTCTCTGTATATCTGACTTTCCAATAAAAATAAATAAATCTTTTTTTAAAAAAGGAAGAAAGGGTTAGTACTGTAGTAGTGCTTAAGCTGCCTCCTTCTGATGCTACCACTGCATTTCAGAGCACAAGATTGACCCTGGCTACTCTGCTTTTAATCGAACTTCCTGCTCACAACCAGGGAAGGCAGCTGAAGGTAGTACAAGAAATGGGCGCCTGTCAAGCATGTAGAATGGAGACCTTGACTCACGACTTTCGCCTGGCCTTGATCTAGTTATTTATGTCCAATTGGGGAGTGACCCAGATGAAACTGCTGTCACTCCATCTTTCTAACAAATGTATCATAAAATTAGCATAACGCTACTATGCCAGCAAAAACTGTTAACAGGACTGAGAAATTATAAAATATTTAACCTCATCATGAGACAGAAGAGAAATAAGAGTCATAAATTCAAAGACCCATCCAAATCTGACATGAATCTAAACCAACCAGTAGCAAAGAATGTATAGAATTTAACTACAAAAGACACCTACTGTCCTATTAGAGAATTCCAAACCTGCAGAAATACCTAAAATACACCATCTTTGGGAGATGAGGGAAGACATTGAGCAAGATTATTTTGATAACTGTCATGTGCAAAAGAAGGAAGCACGCTTGTGCACATCAGCAAGCTGGTTATAATCAAGCTGTCAGAACTCCAGGCAGAGACAGATCCACGCTCCCAGGGCAAACCACCACACTTCTACATTCAATCAAAAGTCCGGCCTGCCTCCCCTCTCTGAACCAGGAGGTAGAAATCTTCCTGCCATGCTGTCCTTTGGGCTGAAGCATAAGCCCTCAATAAGGTTTTGGGTTTTTTTTTGGTTTTTTTGTTTTTTAATTTATTTAATCTTTATTGCAAAGTCAGATATACAGAGAGGAGGGGAGACAGAGAGGAAGATCTTCTGTCTGCTGGTTCACTTCCCAAGTGACCACAACGCTCGGTGCTGCGCCGATCCGAAGTCAGGAGCCAGGAGCTTCTTTCAGGTCTCCTACACAGATGTAGGGTCCCAAAGCTTTGGGCCATCCTCAACTGCTTTCCCAGTCCACAAGCAGGGAGCTGGATGGGAAGCGGTGCTGCCGATTGCTCATATGGGATCCTGGAACTTTCAAGGCAAAGACTTTAGCCGCTAGGTCAAAGCACCGGGGATCCCCTGATAAGTCTTATCTGGGTTACACATTGACCTCTTGTGTATTTCTACTTACAAGTGAACCAAAGAACCTGGAATTAGTAACAATTATGCTATATTATCCTTATACTCAGCCAACTTGATGCTAGGACTAATGCAGTGAACATATGTGACTTACAATGATCTCCCCTTCCTTCTGGGACTATTACCTTACATTTTTAAAAACTGTGATTCACTTCCTCTCATCATTTGCTGTAAGGCACCCCAATATTACCATATTGATGATTTCAAAGTATATAACCTCAGCAGAGTCCATAAGATTAAAAAAAGTTCTTTTAAGGATTTCTGGAGAAGGAAGCTAGCATAAACTTGCCTTCTCCCTTTCTTTCATCCCTTGCCCTTTCTCCACTTTTCTCTCTATACCCCAAAGATACAACAGAGAAGATTATCATTTCTCTCCTGCCATATGCAGTATGAAGATACACAATGCACAACAAACGGCACAGAGAAGGTGGGACTAAATGCAACCAAAGAACAAAAACAAGGAAAAACAGAGCCGATAAATGCAGCCCAGATATATTTCAGCCCTAAACTAAAATATACCTGAACTTTTGAGTTGTACATCCTTGTTGAAATCAGAATTTTTTTCACCTATAGCTTAAAAAGTCCTAACCCCTACAACTAAAACACTGTGGTTTAATGATCAGATTTTAAGCAACATTTTTACTGAGTCAGTTCTAGTAAAACTCCATTTCTGATCTAACAATGATTTGCTATTTGAACTAAATTTAGAGATTAATTCCTTAAGCCTTTTTTAAATATAATTTTGTCCTTTTCCTTTTTCTGAAGAATTATTTATTTGAAAGGCAGAGTACTGGCTCACTCCCCCAGATGGCCACAAGAGACAGGGCTGGACAAGCCAGAAGCCAGGAGTCTAGAACTCCATTTGTGTCTCCCACATGGGTGGCAGGAACCCAGGAACCTGGGCCATCTATCTCCACTTCTGCAAAGGTGTATAATCAGGGAGCTGGACTGGAAAAAGAGCAGTTGAAATCCAAACCCCTCGATGCCAATGTCACAGGCTACAGCTTAACTGACTTTGAAACAACACCAGCCACTAGTTGGTTCATGGGGGGAGGAAGGGGTGATAACATTTTTTTTTTAATTGGGAAGGCAAATTTACAGAGAGGAGAGAGAAAAAGGTCTTCCATCTGCTGGTTTACTATCCATAGCCAGAGCTGTGCAAATGTAAAGCTAGGAGCTTCCTTCAGGTCTCCCACTCTGTCCCAAAGCTCAGAGCCATCTTCTACTGCTTTCTCAAGCCATAAGGGAAGGGAAAGTGGAGTAGCCAGGACACGAACTGCCGCTGAGAAGAATGCTAGTGCTTACAGCCTGAGCATTAGCCAGTTGAGCTAGTACACCAGTCACCAAGCCACCAGTTTTAAAACTAAAATTTTCTCCCTCAAACTTTTATATTCTAATATATATTCCAAAATCACTTTCATCAGTAGCACATATCTGAATAATGACAGAAACTCAACTCAGCACACATCCAATTTCCAGGCCTTAGAACTCTGAAGAAATGCTCAATGCTTTGGAAAGATTATTAAAACAAAAAGTTACAAGGGAATCAAAGTGTAATACAGAACCACATTTAGATGCTTCTTTTTTCTGGCATCTTGAGTCCTGATTTTAGGATTTTTAAAGACTTTTCTACAGTGAAAATTACTGATAATCTAGCCAGTAAATATTTTTGTAACATGACAATAACAAATTACTCAGCAAAACAAGCCAGTTACCTAATTTTAAAAATAAAAACACATAACTTAACTTATGGAATACCACCTTTATTTTATACTTATAAATATTCATGTAATTTCAATTCCAACAACCGAAAAAAAAAATGTTAACTTACCTCAATTGTTTCGCATAGTTCTGTTCAATCTCTATTCTCTCTTTAACAAATTTGGCATATCTTTCCAAGAAGTCGATTCCCCATTGTGTATGCTTGTCTAAGCTGTCGAACTGATCCTAAAAGAGGAAGGTTAAAAACTCATTGCAAATATTTAAAATTATATCTACAAACATTTCAGCCAGTTTGAGGTACAAAGCAAGAATCCTACCCATCTCATTCTTTAGGATTAGAAACAGGTTTCTAAGTATAAAATCACAGAGACTACTTTATGCCTAAATGACTTTATCCACAAGCTAACTATCTGACTGCTACATTCTTACCCCATCACCTTTTTGCAACTAACTTTTTCCTTCTCAGCTCAGGCATTATGTTGACCATAATACCACTCTAAACTCACAAACTTGGATAAGTGCTCTTTCTCTGAATCCCTAAGGTTCCCTAAAATTACTATCCTATTCATTTGTCATACTATATTGAGGACAGTGACCAGGTACTAAACTTTCAGCTCTCAAGATCTAAATACGTGTGGCACTAGAAGCACTCAATGGAGAACTGTTTAGCTGAATAAAATCAGTCGTATATGGGATGCGTTCAAATTCTGAGATCTGAAAGGTGAGTTTGCTGATGCACCTGGGTAACTCATTTCAAATCTCAGCTGCTCATCTCCTAATTCCCTGGAAAAGGAGCTAAGAATGGCCCAAGTGCTTGGGACCTTACCTCTATGTGGGAGACTTGGATGCAGCTTCTGGCTTATGGCTTCCACCTACTTCTGCCCCAGCCTTGGTGACCATCTGAAGAACGAAATAACTATGGGAGATAGCTAGCTGTCTTATTTTTTAACTCTGTCTTTTAAATAAGCAATCTTTTAAAAAAATTTCTGGAATCTGCCATTCACCAAATGTTTGACAACTGGGCAAGTTTTTTTCTTTATCCAAATATGGGAGACCTGACACTAACCTCACAGTAATGTGCCGATATCCATTATAAATTTAAAACAATTTCAGTTGTCTTTTAGAAGACAATCCCAAACTTCCAGAAGACTTAATTATTTTTTAATTGGGGAGAGGATAAAGACAGAAAGGATATCAATCTTGTACATATTAGTCCATTCCCAAAAATCCACAGCAGTCCTGGGTGGGCCAGGTCAGTGCCAAGAACCCATAAATTTATTCAGGTCTCCCAAATGAGTGACAGGGACTCAATCACTGAGGCAATCATTTGTTGTTGGCCAGGATCACACCAACAGAACACTGGATCAAAAATGCAATAGCTGGGACTCACACTAGATACTCCATTATGGAACATGTGTATGCCCCAAAACAATTTTATTACTGCACCAAATATCTGTCTCTAGGTAAGTGAGTGCTGAACAAACCAGGTTACCCTCTAGTGAATGAGTCTCACCCTATCAGCTTTCCTGGAAGACTGACCAGCCCCCCTCAAATAGGAATTTGCTGGACAACTGTCTTTTCTGCAATAAGCTTCAACAGATCAAATCAAAATGCATTCATTACCAGTTGTAATGAATACATTACCAAGTTGTCATCAGATAGAAAAAATTAAGCTGTTTATCTCACCTGAGAATTAGAGAAAGAGATAAAGATAATACCCAAATTCCCAAATAGGCCAGGTCTAGCCTAGAAGATAAGGAAGCCTTGTCTGCTTGAACCTTTACAAGGAAAGTAAGTTGGCAACAACAAGCCTGCCTTTTTGTTAATCTCTTTCTGCTTTCCTCATATCTTCTCTATCCATAATACCATTATCTTCCTCTCAACTCATCTAAATATTCATTTGGTTTTCTTTTCCATCTTATCTTAAAGACAGAAATAAATGCAGAGTCTTTCAACCCCTGGATCACATCCCAAAGGTCTGGAACAGCCAAGGCTCGGTCAGACAGAAATCAGAAGCTGGACATCTAAAGCCAGGTATCCCATCGGGGCGGTCTCCTAGCATATACGACAACAGGACACTGGAACTGTAAGCACAGTCAGGACTCAAACCCAGGCACTCTGAGATGCAACTGACTGGTGGTTAATGAGTTTAAATATTCAGTTTGACTTACTGAGTAAATTTGAATTTTTTTTTCAACTAGACTGAGAACTTTTCAACCAGCTGAGAATAAATCTTCAATACTTCCTTCCTTTACTGGTTCAGAAAAGACTAAACATCAACATATACTTTTTCAGTGGTTCACTAAATGGAGTCCATAATTTAGATGGAATCTAGCAAATATTATAGGCAAAGAAATGTTAAGAGAATTTGTATCTTAATGAAGCCATACAGTATATCTTCACTGTGTAATTTCTTAAAAGTATGCCTTTAGGGATAGCTTCCTATGCATCCTATAATAGATTTTACCAATTACCTGGTATGCCACCATGTTTCTCTACATATATCGTAACTTTAACTGCAAAAGGAAGAGCAAATGTGACAAAAGAAGTAATAAGCTTTTGGTCTTTGATCTCTGTATTAGGAAGAAGCTTTTAAAACCTTCAAACTGGGCCCAGCACGGTGACCTAATTGCTAAGGTCCTTACCTTGAACGCGCCGGGATCCCATATGGGCACCGATTCTAGTCCCGGCAGTCCTGCTTCCCATCTAGCTCCCTGCTTGTGGACTGGGTAAGCAGTAGAAAACAGCCCAAAGCCTTGGGACCCTGCATCTGCGTGGGGGACCTGAAGGAGGTTCCTGACTCCTGGCTTCAGACGGGCACAGCTCCGGGCCGTTGCAGTCACTTGGGGAGTGAACCATCGGACAGAAGATCTTCCTCTCTCTCTCTCCTCCTCTCTGTATGTCTGACTTTGCAATAAAATAAATAAATCTTTAAAAAAAAAAAAAAACTTGAAACTGCCTAACTGATAATGAAAGGAACTTCTAATATTCTTTTTTTTTAAAGATTTATTTTTATTATTATTTTTTCATTGGAAAGGAGGATATACAGAGAGGAGAGACAGACAGGAAGATCTTCCATCCCATGATTCACTCCCCAAGTGAGCGCAACGGCCGATCCGAAGCCAGGAGCCTCTTCCGGGTCTCCCACGCGGGTGCAGGGTCCCAAAGCTTTGGGCCGTCCTCCACTGCTTTCCCAGGCCACAGGCAGGGAGCTGGAAGGGAAGCGGGGCTGCCGGGATTAGAACTGGCACCCATATGGGATCCCGGGTGTGCAAGGCGAGGACCTTTAACCACTTGCGCCACCGCGGCGGGCCCTCAAATTTCATTTTATTTCTACAACACATCATTAAAGCTTTTAGTAATTAATATTTATTAGTAAACAATGTTCCAGACCCTCTTTATATAACTATGGAAACTGAAAATGTTTAAGCAATTTGCTGATAGCTGCCCACTAACCAAAATGAGGTAAAACTAGACATCTCAAAGACACTGCCAGTTTTGTATTCTAACTATCCAAATGAGCAACTACTGTGCATAATTATTTAAATGATGTACTTCATTTACCGGAAAGAAACAACAGAAAAAAACACTGCTCACCAGGGAAGCTTTGATTAAAGGAACAAATTAAAAATCCCCATTCAAATACATTTAAGATCCCTATTCAAACACATGCTCAATGCTTAAACTCCTTTACAAATTCTTGGTAAGGCTGGACAAGGCAGCAGCACCCACTGACATACATGTGGACTGGGTCATGGGGTGGAGTGAGCAGAGTTAAGCTGCAACACCCATAGGCATATACAAGACTTGGACTGGACAAGTCTGCTGTACATATGGACATGTGCAAGAACTGGGGCTAGGGCAGGCCTGGTGGGAACATCGGGGGTCATCCCAACTAAGCTGCCGTTTCTGCTGATGTGCATAAGGGACTGTGGCAGGTTGGGCTGCATCACTCATCAATTTGCATAGGACATGGGGCTGGGAACAGAACTGACCAGGCAACTACAATCACCAGTGTATGCATAGGCTGATCCAGGTGACAGACTGAATCTGACCCTGTACTGGTTGCCACATGCAAGAGTCAGGTCTGGGATGGCCTCAAATAAGGTTTCAGGGAGGGGGGGGTGCTCCTCAACTGTACCACTGGACTCAAAACTCTGGCCACAAAGTAAATCATAGGATTTGTGGTACAACCCTGGGATGCATGCATCGGGACTGGGCCTCTTCGACTGCCAATGCCTGTGCAGTGGACAGCATGCCTGGGTGCATAAAAGGTACATGCAGAAGATATTAAAGATATTAGCTGACATATAGAAGATGGAGAGCAGAACAAGTTGGACAATTCTCCTGGCCAAGCTTTGGCAGCAAGTATCTGGGTGAGTAGATGCCCTATAAAGGACTTTGCCAGGCAGTGGACTCTGGGAGTATTTTTCTCAACCTTCGAACAACAAGCCAACAGCATCTTGGAACTACAAAAGCCACTCAAGCAATACCTTCCATTCTTCTCCACATTGGGGTTTCTACGATGACATCAAGTGAACATCCCCCATCCCTGCATACTCATTTTTGATAACCGGGAACAGCCCCATCATGCTCCCTTGCTCCTCCACCCTCCCCCCAATACAGGAGAAAAGGGAAAAGAAAAGTTGGAAGCATTTGTCCCACTCATCTTTCCCTATGCTTCAGCCCTCCCCACCGTAATCAGTGGTCTCATGGGCATGCATCCTTGTTAACTATGCAAACAACATCAAAAATAAAATAAATTTTTAAATTCCTGGTAATCATGCAACCTTTTGTGATTATTCCATTAGCAGTCTAAACACCTCCAAAGAGGGTATTTGGCCTTGCTATCTAGACACCTCCATCCCACATGGAAGTACCCCTGGTTCCACACTCAGTTCTGACTGCAATACCCTGTTAATGTGCATCTTTGGGAGGCAGGGGTGATGGTTTAAGTAACTAAGTTCCTGGTTCTATCTCTGTCTCGCTACCTAAAAAAAATTTAACCTAAATTTTTAAAAAATAATTGTAAGTTCCAAAAGCACACAAGAAGAATGCTAGGAAAATGAGGGATGACTTTAACTGCAAAATCATATATTTTCAGAAGTTAAGATTTAGTATTCAATCCTTGCTTTTCTAAGTAAAGCCTTGCATTTAAATGAAGCTCCAATAAAATACTTCTGGTAAAGAACCAAGGGTCACCACCATTTAAACAAGACTTTGTT